CGTTCATTTATCAGTTTTACTTTAAGAAGGAAAGGGCTATTTCTTATCAATTTTTATAAATTATTTATAAAATGAATATTGCAAAGTAGCAACAATTCGTAAAAACAAGGAATTTAAAGTGTTTAAAAAGTTTGCATTTCCTTTTGATTTCTCTATTTTGTGTTACTTTCACTGAAATAAAGCATTTTAAAAATCCTTACGATTTGACATACTTTTATATGGTAATATTCCTTTGGCAATCTTGACATTGATCATATTTCAACTACTAGTGTTATTAGTAGTATACTAATATCAATATTATAATTCATTATCAGATTCATTAAGTTGAATATCAATTCTGCCATTGTTTGCACTACTTTAACCGTACTATTACCACTACTACAGTAAGAAAACTTTACCTATGTTATTATTGTGCTGAAAACTAATCATAAAGTTTAGAGAAAAAAGCTACCCGAAGAAGTGGTGGCTCTCGTAACATTAACTTTGTAGCCAACTGGCTTGAATTGTGGCAACGAGATATTTTCAAACCCGACAACCTGTCCCTGATCCCGACGGTATTTACCCCAAAACAATGCTATATCCGCGGTTGTATATCCATCTATAAACCATTTTTTATCTGAATCAATTTGCTACGAAATGTCTAATTAAAAATTTTCATTAAAAGCAAATTTAAAATGTTTTATTCACCAAAAATTGACCAAAAAATAATGTCATGCTTTTTGACAAATAGCATAATAAAAGTTGAAAAGTGTGTGCACCAGTGCCATATGACAGTGGTAGAAAGAAGGAGATTTCTCTTATTTTTAGAGCTAAAAATAGAACAGCAAATAAAATACCACAATATTAGATAATAATGGCAGCATTTGCAATTATTATCTATTAAATAGAAAAATAAAAATGTAATATTTGTAAAATTAAAGTATGCAAATTGTTAACTTCAGAAAATAGTGAAGAAAAACATAAACATAGTAGGATTTTGTTAATTAGTCAGTGGTCACTTTGATATGCTTTATTGTAAGTGCATGGATCATTTTAAGTTGTGAAAATTAGTTACAGCAATGCTAACAAAGGTAGTGTGAATAGCGAAATAACACAGTTGTTAGAAATTAGAAAAGGAAAAGAGTGATAAAGTAATCATTATCAGCATTCAAAGTAATGATTACTCTATTGATAATAGTAGATGTCTTCGAGCAAGTCTCTTTTTACGATACTCACAAACTGAAAATGTGAAAGTATAAACGAAAGAATGACAGAAATTGGTTAAAAAGCAAGCCTGAGAGGTACAGCTAAGAACTAAGTTGTTTCAAAGCTAAATTTAGCATACCATTTAGGAGTCAAAAATTGTAATATGCTAAAATTAGCTTAATAATTTTGGTTTATTTGATCGGATCACTTGTATTTTACTTTTTGATGAAAAAATTTGCATGCCAAAAATTTGAATACATTTATAATTGATCAAAAAGATTCAGTAAATAGAGTTTGTTTTCTTCTAATTATGCAACTGGTAACAACATGAAAGATATTAACATCAAAATCTTTATTCAAGTCGAAACATTTATGGAATATTGTATATTTAATTGTATTATAGGAATTAAAATTGACTTACCTGTAAAGTCGTTAATTTGGTGCTTCAATCATAACCAATCAGTAATCAATTACTCGTGTAATCAGACTTGTCTTAAATAAACTAAACAGCAACCAATACTTATAAAAATTTACATTTTTGGTGATTATACAACAGGAAACAGAAATGCCAATGACATTTACAATTAATATTAAGGATGTGATAATTTGATTGAGTTTCAAAGTATTAAATAGAAATTAAACAAGTTGAATTATTTAATTTACATGAATACAAGCTTTGATAATAAATTCGAAACTACTGAACTTAACCTACAGAGTAACCTAAGTAAAGAATTAAGTGAAAAAATTGCTGTGACACTTCTTAGAATATGTTGTGAATCAATTAAAATAGCGCTAATTGCTCATTTTTCTATCATTTTTTCTAAAAATAATTGTAGAAAACTGACCTTGTAAATAATTCTTTCACTTTCCGTCATGAAAATTACTATCAAAGAATATTGTGCTTAGGAAAATATAAGTTCAGACAAGTAAACTGTAATGCCCACAGTGATATAAAATCGACACAAATCAAATTTATACTTTTCTTGCATTTCAATTTGACAAAGTGATAAAAAATTAAGAGAAAACAAACAAAAGACACTGGTGCACCTGTAATGATAGCAGAGGTAGCAATTTCTAAAGTTCAGTGGTGAAATGCCAACTGTAAAGTTTGATTTTTTATATTGTATATGTAAATATCGACTAGCTTTGAAATCCATCTCTTTTGATATTAAACAAAATTCAACTAACTAATAAATGAGATTCTTGAGAGAGTAAATAGCAACGAACTGAAATTTGTGTTATTTTTGTAGATTCTAGCAAAAACAACAAATATTTCATGAAATTACAAGTTTTTCTAAAATATCTGAAGGTTTAAAATTGGAAAATAATTCTTACAACTTTCGATTTCAAGTTTGCATTTCTGCGAATCCATTGGGAAGAGCTGTAGCTTCATGGGACAGGTCGCTGTTACTGTCAACCTGAATTAATGAACTACAAACGTTATAATTTTAGTGAAGTTAGCAAAGTGTTGTCACTGTCTTCGAAGTAATTAATTAAAGCCAAATAGATGAATTGAAAATATAATATCGTCCATTCCTTCCGACGATTGTCTGCTTGCAAGCAAATATCATTCAGGTAGAAATTTGGTAACAAAACGTTTTTATCAAACATAATTTCCAATTTTGGTATTTGGATATGCCAAAAGCATGTTACTTCTGTAAGTGCGAAACGTTCAGTTATTTGAAAATTAGTAAGTATTTTTAATCATTAATTAGAACTGCTTCTGATTCCTCCGAATTTTTGTTAAAAATTTATAAGTTTATTTTTTTTTCGCAAAATATTTAACTTGACTGAAAATCTTTAACAACTCTTTTGGGTCACTGAGCATTTCTGCATACATTTGCAAGTACAGACATACTTACATATTTTTGCCATTTTACTGCTATCATTTTACAGCGCTTTAAAAATAAGTGATCTCTTTAATTTAAAATCATGACCTTTGACCTCAAAAACTATAGGCAAATTTTATGCTTTCCAAAGACCTCCGAATTTTGATTGAATGGATTTCAAACAAATTATATCAGATTTCTTGAAATATGCCATGGATAGTTTTTGCTTTTGAACAAACTTTAGCTACATTTTTTGCGCATATTAGAAGCAGACATTGTGAAACTATAAATGCTTGATTTCTTTGCTACTTTCAAATTAATGCGCAAGAAGTAATTTTTGTAGATAATTAAAACTGAAAAATAAGTAACTCATTTTTTATATTATCCCAAATTTTAGGACTAAACAAAAGAAGCCCAACTGTCAGCTTGCTTAACGAACAACTTTGTTCATAACACCGACTAACATAATCCACAAGATTAAGGAACTGAATATTATGAGTACACTATTTATTTTTAAACTTGAATAATAACTACTAAGTTTGATTACAAGTGAATCAATTGCTAGAAATTTTAAGCTCAAATGACAGCTTTCTTCATTTTACTGACTTAACTTTTTGAATATTTGAGCTCAATGATTTAGTTTTTAATTTTCGTTCCTCGTTTATTTTTCAATAAACATTCAAATCCATTGATCCTTTTATAGATTCTTGCTGCCACAGTTCTTCAGCGTGACTTTAAGTATCGACTTTGCCAAAAATTTCTGGATATTAACTTGAATTTTGCATACATAAAGACAAAATTAATATTTGAAAATAGCGTTATTTTGTTCATCTTTAAAGATGCATTGAGTAATGACTAAGAATTCGAAATAACTGACTGCATCCCATAAATGTTTAAATAACAAATTTTATAAGGTCAAAAACAGCATAAAAATAAACAATTGAATTTTTGGCATTATTTGGAACACTTAATTTTTCAGAAGTTGTGACGATATAGAAGAATCGGTCAACTTTTCTATCTACTTATGGAAATGTTTTCCTACTCTGAAAATTGAGATCTCTAAAGTATGGAAATTGACCTTTATATATCTGCCCTTTACAGTTACAGTTAATATACCGAAGTCTTCACACAAATTGTCGTAGTATAATAACTTTTAATGTACATACAATACTGCATAAACCTATTTATTGATATAATTTTCTCATCAGAATGAAATGTTGGTAACTGTGATTTTAGAATGTATTTTCTGGTCTCAAGCTATAATTCAAATAAAATCTGAATAACTAATTTTCGTACAAAAACTGGCCTCAAACATCAAATAATATTATCCGTAAATTTTTTATTTCCATTTCTTTCAGTGAACAATAAATGCAAAGGATGGATATGAAGCATCTTCAAGAAAGCTTGGGATTTATGATTTATAATAACAACGTTAATGATTAAATTATGGTTGCAAGAAGTTATAATTGTAACTGACCTTTGCGAAGTAAATACTGTACCATCAGGGTCAATCCTTAAAAAGGAATTATGCGTTGTGGCGGTGTGAAAAAACGATTTCTTTTCATTGGGAAAGAAAGTGTCTGGTTTCCACAGTTTCTCCAAATAATCTACACCTACCTAAATTTGCTGAGAAGAAGTAATCCAATTCAGTAAAACAATTAATCTGTTTCCCTAAACAGTGAAAATATAATGGCAAATTAAGCTACGTATATTCGGAAATTAATTAATAGTATTTATGAACACATATGAATCTCTTAGTTAAACTCTATTTTAATTATTTACAGTTATTCTTTTGATACTTTTTGATAATTTAAAGAAGAAACATATTTTATTCATGTTAACATTCAACATACAATTTCAGAAGAATAAAACTTAATGTTGGTAAATCCAAATGTTGGTAAATTCATATTTTATTCAAAAGAATTTAATGTTAATTTGCATTGAATTCTCTTAAAAGTGATTTTATTGAATTGCAATGAAGTTAAAATTTATGAACAAATTTACTGCTTTTAAATTAAAAAAAAAATAACTGAACATAAATAACTTATTGAATTTTTTTTGGCATCCAAATTTATTTGATGTATAAATGATTTTCAATTAAGAACTATGATTTTAAGTACAGAGAAAATTAAAATACCCAAATTGAAAGCCTAACAATAATTAAATTAGTATTTTTATTTGATAATGACACGATTTTACGAGAATTTTATCATAAATATCTTAAAGTTTCTTGCAACGTTTAAGATAACTGAAGCAGATGAAAATTCATAAGTGATTTAATAGGTAAAAAAATTGCGTACCGTTAAGGATTCAATTTTCTTTTTCTGACGGCCATTAAAATATTCGCCAAAGGCTAAACGTGGATCTTGCCATGTTTGTCGTAAATAAAAATCAAGAGTAAAATCCTAAAATTGCTCAGAAATTTTTAGCATAAAATAAAGCACAACTTTTTCAAAAAATAAAATTGCAAATGAAAGTAGTGCAAAATTCACTTCATATGCTTTATTTTTATTCAAATATTTTCAAAAAGTATTCAAATTATCAAACTTATTATGTGACTGAAGTAAGTGCATAAAATGATTTAATATCAATCACACATTTGTTATGTAAAGATGAATTATCTACTTTGATTAGTTTGTTACTTCTTTTTATGATACTTTTTAAGAGTCAAATTAATCACTAAGTATCTGAAACATTTTGCAGTGATTCAATTATTGCTGCAACAATTGAATAGCTCTTCTCAAAATAATCAAAGTGATCTATTACTGTTAGTTTTGGTTGCTTAATTAGCAGGATTTTTTATTATCCAATAAGTTCTGATGGACGATTTTGTTACTATCTTGCAACTAGTTGAATATTTTGTTAAAATTTAGCTCAATACATCAGCAGTTGCAAATATTTTCGAAGATTGCCTTGACAAATATAAAAAGTACAGACAATTTGTTTGAAGTTTCGGTGCTTATTTTTTAACTTATGAGCCAACTTTGCAATATTAATGAGATTTTTTTCTAAACATTTTACTACAATTCTGCCCTGACATATATCGATGTATAACTAAGCTTGATCAGTCTTAGCAGATCAAATAAATCAAATACTTTGACTAATTACTGATCGTTGAATGAAAAGAATATACTCAACTATCAATCACTACTTTAATGAATAGTATAGAAAATAAACACAGTTTAAGAGCCAAGCACCTCAGAACATTTGATTTACATGCAGTTAAAAGTAATTACTACAATCAAACTTTGAGTACTAAAATTTTATGAGTTAACTTGCTGTATTAATTTATTTTTCAGAATGCTTATAAGTTATTGAAAGTGCAACATTCTACTATCAGTGTGAGTGTAATATTATTTCAAAGTTTTGTAAAGGATTGTGAATAAAATTGACTTAAATACTGCAAGAATTTGAGAATAAATAAAATGAGGCCAATTAGTTTAATTGGTGAAAAAAAACCTTTATCATTTATATTTTTACAAACTTTGATTTCATAAAGTTTCTCATAAGCGATAATTATATCCCGACGTCATTAAATGTCAAATAATGCAAAATCAAAATCTTCAAATTCAAAACTTCATAAAATGGAAAAGCTTGTAAAATTGGCAACCTTTCCAACGATATACTGAAAGTTTTCTTAGAAAATAACTTAAGACAAAGTGTGCTCAAAGTTACTTTCAGTAATGAACATTAATTTTTGTGGACTAATTTGCATTCAGAAATAATTTTAGTAAGAATGAGGCAAAAATTAAACAGTTGTACAGAAGAAAAAGATTTAATTTTAGTTAAAAGTTTCAAATTCGCTGCAGTTTTGAGATTTGTTGAGAAAAAGTTTTATTTATTGTTCAAAACTTGCTTAAACAGCTGCCCAAGTAAGATTTGCACTAAATCACACAAACAGTTTCATATCAGACAGGTGGACTAGATTATAAAAAATTTGAAGTAAACTGCTTTTGCGTAAAAGTTTTTATTGATTGCATACAATTGAAGACCATTTTGCATTTCAAAAATTCAGGTATGAATAAATATTACTCAAAATATAGTCAAGTTGATAATGTTTGAAATTTATTAAATGGTCGAAATGACAAATAAATTAGTAATTTATAATTGTAAAAATTTTTTCAGCAAAAAATTAAAGTTTGCTTAAAAATGTGAAGTGAAGTATTTCAGTTTCATGTATAATTCAGCTTTTTTATCCCCAGCTTAACGTTTAATTTAGTATTATTTGGTATGTGGCAAAGGTTATGTCAATTTTATCCAATATTTATTACTGTATTATTAAATCGTAACTAAATATGAAATATATAATACAATTTATTAAAATATTTAATTAAAATTAAATTACGTTATTTCTTGTATTGCTAACTGTGCAAACTAAAATCAAGCCATAAAATTATCGTACTTTCCCTTTCAGTTCGTTCACACATCGTTTCGTTATGCATTGCAGCATTCACTTCGTTAGTTATCAATTTTAGTTTTAGATTATTACTCTCCGAAATTTATGAAATGAAATGGAAAAAATTGCTATAAAGTAGAAACTTTTTTATTTTCGTACGAATGCATTTTTATGACAATAAAAAAACGAAGAATAGACAGAACATTTGAGGCATTTTTCATCTCAAAAATAAAATGCAATCATTCATTCATTGGATTATTATTTTCAAGCTGCCATTTGGATACTCACATTTATCCCTTTCTGAACTCGGAACACACAACTTTACTTCTCTTTCAATACGTTTTATAAAACCGTTTATTTATGAAAACAAATCGTTTATTCACTGGTAATGTGATGACATTTATAAAAGCAGTGCTGATTGTTTCATATTTCAAACAAATAAATTTTTAGGTTAAATGAAGCAATGCCGGCTAAATTCAAATTCTATAACTCAACCAAAATCTGTTTTTTGAATAACTTTTTTTCTGCAATCAATGAACAATTATTTTATTGATCTGCAGATTATCCGAACTTTTTTATTCTGAAAAATGAAGTGAGCAAAGTTTGTTAAAATTGATGCATGGTACAAACTAAAGATTCATTTTTCTTACTTGAAAATTCGACCTAAATAATGAAACTAATTGAAAAGTTAACTAGAAGATTCTTACTATGAAAGTTTCATTGTAAGCATTCTTTTGACTTTTTATTTGTGAAAATTTAAGAAATCGGAAATATACGTGAAATGTAATGAAAGTTTCTTCATAACGCTGTTAAATTAATGTAATCGGTAACTGATCCCTTTATTACACTCATTTAATCTTTGAAATTCATTTGAACAAGAAGTTTGATTTCAAGACTCCAGAATACCAAAAAAAATAAACAGAAAAAAGTTAATTAAAAGTTTTAGATATAATACATATGAATTAATATTTCCTGATCATTATTAAATCGTGATTCGATACGAAATATAAGAAGTAATTGATCATTACAGTTCCAACATTTTTGATCAAGTTTAATCGAAATTTCGTAAATACATAATAAATTTTGAAAC